AAGAGCCCTGGAAGAGAGAAGATGTGCCCGGAAAGACATGTTCCTCATTATGATAAAATGAAATTGGAATCCTCTGGAACTTTGTGCCACATAATTTCTTTAGGGAGAGACAAGTCTTCCCAGGGATACTAAATCTTTCTGACTTCTTCTTCCACATTTCTCTGCCTCTAGCCAGAGAAAGTTCACTGTTTCTAAGGGTTTATGTGATTAGATTGGACCCATCCAGATAATCCAGAATAATTCCACCTTTAAGGCTGAGATTGGGAACTTGAGTTTCTCACAGGTCCTGGGTCTGTGGAGTGAGGGCTGCCCTCTCACCCCATTTTCACCCATGAAATCCCAACAGCCCCCTGACAACAGTCTTTGCCAACATGGCACACTGAGAGCCATAGCAGAAAGTAGGTTTGGGCTGTAGTACCGGCTCACCATTGTCTCAGTGATGTGAAGATGGTGCCTGATTCTTGAGTTAGGAAGGACAGGCATACAGACTTACCTCCATTTTCAGTTACAACTGGGATTACACATCTATTTGACTAGATTGACCTCTAATGGTACCTTCACCCTAAAAGAGAACGTTGTGTTTCTGTGGCACAGAGTTCTGTTTATATGTCTTCTGATTGACACAGCATATTCTCCAGAAGGCGGGACTCAGTTCATGGGATAAAGGAGGTGAAGTGAGCAGTGCCCTCGGTCCCCGGAAGAGCAGTGATCTCACAGCCGGGCTGTGTGTAGTGTGAAGGAGCAGATGGAGAAGGGGTCAACAAAGTCATCCTTGTTTTGAAGGGTCTTTGTTTGGTGTCTTCTTGACTCTGAGACAAGGACTCAGGATACAGATGCAGCTTGACTTGTGCCTTTTTGGGGCTAGATACTTCAACTTGTCACATGCAGTTTTTGAAGCATTCGTGTAGGTTTTTATTTTTATTTTTCCAGGAGAAAACACTTGCTTTTCCTCTCCTCCTTCCTGAAATTTAGACATTTGTGTGAAGTATCAGATTTTATTTGGCTTTATTTGATTTCACTGCCCACTTGTTTATAACATATGCTTTTGCCCGGCAAGCAGTTGCAGTCCTTAAATGGTAGATGAGAGAACGACACGCCTCATGGACTTCCTCCTCAGACTCTGTGCTCCCTTGATTTCCACAGGAAAAGGGGATCACAGAACTGGGATAAATTTTTTGTGAATTTAGCAGTGTGTTAATATGACTGTTCAACCCCGTCTGTTTAGACATTTTGCCTCGATTATATTATTTCTTTCTTGAAAAGGGCTGCCATTCCTAAGAGGTTTGATATTTAGTCCTGAGCTATGTGGTAGTGGGTGTATTTAACTGTGTTTAGAAACAGCAAAAAATGAAGTATTTTAATGCATTAAACATAATAGAATTCAACATTTAAATTGTTGAATTGTTTTTAAAAGATTAATATCTTCCTCAGACATGAGTTTTACAATTCCTGACTTTGATTTAGAAATTTTGAAATGTTCCTGAAAGTTAAGAGACAGTGATTGCTCCTGGGTGGTGGATAGTCTTTGTAGGTGGTATGTGGCCTAGTTCCAAGTTGAACTAAAACATAGAAATCGTAGTCCTGAGTTGGATTTTCTGAATATGGACAAAGTGAAGTTGAGATTTGAGTGTACTTTACGAGACTATTCAAGGGAAATTCTCAAAATGTGTCGATAAACACATTGTAACACGCATCCACAGGAGGAAAACAAAGTTGTGCATTGTATTTTGAAAATACATCCACATCTCACTTTATTTAGTAGTAGAGTCCCTGAAAAATTTGTGTGTAGATAAAAGTTTTTATAAACCGAAAAGTTTTCAAGTACATTTTTATTTCACAGATGTTCTCTCTTCTATTTCTGTTTGGCTGTGACTTCTAATGTATTAGTAGTAATCTTTACCAGTCTTCATTTTGTGTAGTGATCATTCATTTTTTCAGCAAATATTTATCAAACCCTGACCTGTGCATGCACTGGGCCAGGACGCAGTGGTGAGCAAGGGACTGCTTTCTCTGAGTTTCCCTGCTGGTGGGAGAATAGAGGGGCCAGACCAAGCAAGGAGCAGATGCTGTGCAGAGTGACAGACCCTCTGCTGGGTGCCGGGCAGGCCCCGATGAGGCTTCTTAACCTAGGGATCAGGAAAGAAGCATTCTCTAATTTGGAACCTAAAGAATGGAGATTAGCCAGGTAAACACTAGGAGAAAGATGTTCCAGGCATGTGCTTGGAGGGGAGAGAGAAGGTGGGTATTCAGGGGAATCGCACATAACTGAGTAGCTCAGAGTGGAGTGGATATAGCTGTGGGGAGTTTGATGGGAGAAGGAATGGTAAGACACTGGAGGTGGGCAAAGGTTAGCTGAGGCAATCTTTCTTGAGCCTCTTAGGCTATTGGGCATCATCTTTAGAGCAAGGGGAGCCACCAAAACCCTCCAGAGGGTGAGTGACTTGATGAGATAAATGCAAAACAGAAGTAAATCTGTGAATTTGAATGACCTTTGAAGCAGGACTCACTCCAGTCCCTTTCTTCCAATGTGCTTTTCCGTTTCTTTTGATTTTTCTTTCACAAATATTTATTGGGCACCTAGTTATTATGTGCCAGGAAGTGTGCTAGACACTGAGTTGAAATAAAGCACCAGCTCAGAAAGTAAAGTCAAATTGACTTTGCTAGGTTACTGCTTTTTTATTTTTCAGTCTTTTACAGTGTAGTTATTAAGCTAGTGAGGAAAGAAAGAATATAATGAAGTTATCTGTTAGACCCAGAAAGAATGGGGCACAATGGCCTTTGTTGTTACGGGGTCAGCAGCCTCGAATGTCATGCTTTTAGGAAATGTTGCTATGTTGTGATTAACACATTTTGCAGAAGTGGGTGGGAGCTTTTGAGTAATATAATAAGCATTTGTGTACTCTTCCTCTAATGGTATTACCGTATTTAGTTATGATCTAAAAATATTGAAGAATACATAAATTCTTGTTAGCGTAGCACAGAATGTACAGTCCTTTACTAAAAGTTCTATTTTCCTTCTTTTTCTCCCTTTCCTTACTTCATAGAAGAAAATCACTTGCCTCCTGTGGTCAGTAGGGACCTATATGAGTTCATAGCCAAGGGAATGTTTTTGGTTAGGAAAAATAACAGTAGGAATTCCAAACTGAATTGATTACTGGAGCTTTTTGGAAAAATGATTTGGCAGGCTTTGCCTGCCTTTGTCAAGTAAGTATGAGCAGTTAATAGTAGTGTAAGCACCTGGTCTTGGACTTCATTTGGTGGCCTAGTTTCAAGGTATGTTTCCTGGGGTTAATTTTATTCAAGGAAGGTACATTTTTCAGATCTAATGTGCAGTCAAGCCAGCTTATGTTCTTTGCCCGTGCTTCATTCTTGCCCAGCCTCTCTCTTTTTCTCCCCTCTCTCTTATCTTTCATTGAATTAAAAAGAAAATTATGAAATATTTCAAATATACAAAAAGTTACAGAAAATAACATACACACATGTGCCATCGTCTGTCATTTTGCCATATTTGCTTGCTACAGATTCTTTCAAGAAATAAAACATTACAGATGTAGCCGATGCCACCTATGTATCCTCATCTCTTTCATTAGAAATAATCGCTATTCTGGAATCGCATGTTTCTATGCAACTATATACATATAAATATATTTGCATTCTGTTATTAACGATAGACTATATTGGTTTGCATGTGTTCACATTGTATAAATATGCATATTCCTCTGCAGCTTGTCATTTTCACTTAACTGATTTTTGAGATTTATCAGTGTCTATGCATGCGGCATCTGATTAATTTTAACTGCTACATGATATTCCATTTTTGTGCTAAAATTAAAAAAAAAGAATCCCTTCTAATCTTTGCCTTGGTTTTTCACATTGTTTATGGTGTCTTTTGGTACACAGTTTTTACTTTTGGAAATTGTAGTAATTTTTTTTCCCTATTTTGGTTTCTACTTGTCTTATTTTGTTAAAGAGGACTTTTCCTACCCCAAGTTCATATGTATATTTTCTCCCATCTTTTTAAAACTTTCATTTTTACTTTTGGCTCTTTATTAATTCTACCTCAAATTAAATTTATATCGTGGTGTGAGATTGAAAATTTATTAATTTTTCTTATATGAATAAATAATTGTCCCATCATCAGTAATTGAATAGTCATCCCTTTCCCATTAAATTGTAATATTAAGTTTGCTGATTTGTATCAGTCCATTGTTTGTATTTTATAATGTCCAAGCACAGAAAAGGAAAATGAAGTTTTGAGGAAAATAATAGCTCAATAGATAATCTAAGCTTTAAGCTCGATGCTGAATTTGAATTGTATGTGTATGTTTAACCCTGTGATGCCATCCTACACTTGGATGTATAACTTGGAAATGGAAATTTGTTTGTATTGACTGCAGGTTGTCGATACTGTGAATGAATAATGAGCATTTAATCTCAAAACGATTAGTGTAAAAAAGATCCTAATAATGGCATTGACTGTTCTACCTATTATTTATACATGGGTTTAGCCATTGTTTTTCCGAGACCAAAATCTAAATCATTAAGTTAAATAAACCAAAGCTCAGATGTGGGATGCACAAATGATGACCTTCTTGCAGAGAATATTTTTAAAAATTGGTGTGAACATTTGTCCAAGTGCTGTGTCTCAGTGGTTCTCACTCTTCAATGTGCAAAAGAATGCCCCGAGGCCTCCTGGGTAGCACTCCTAGCTTCAGTAGATATCTGGAGTCTGCATACTTAACAGGCACCACAGGAGCTCCCAAGGCCACACACTGTGTTAGCAAAACCTGGTCATTCACAATCCTCTGTCATGATTTTGGTTGTATTCAAGTGCAGTTGGTACCATTTGAATTTTGTGTTTCCTTTTAAAGATTTCTTTTGTGTAAATTAGAAAGGAAACTGTGTCACTACTGTAAAAGTAAAATCAGTATTACTATATGTAAAAGGTACATGTAAATATACATTAAGATATAGGTGCGTGTATGTCTGTATGTCTATATATGTAGATATAGACACACACACACATATATATATAATCATAGGTAATGATTTTTCCTTCAGGTTTTCCAATGTCAGCTTTGGGGCAAATTTGTATGTGTGTATGTATAGTATAAATATACTTAGCCTTGCACTGTGGAGTATTTATAATTTTAGAAATAGCACAGTGGAGTGTGGCTGATGTGCTGTGAGATGACAGCTCTAGCTTTGCCCAGCAGAGAGAGGGCACCTCAACAGCAGAAAAAGTACGAGAGCCAGCCAAGAAACAGAAGGGAGGACTGTGAGGTGAAATGATCCCCGGTACTTATTGTAACCCCTGCCTTCTTAGGAAGCGAGCCAACCTGACCGCCAGTTCACCTGAAGGGAATGTTCTCACATAGAAAAGTGGGCGCGTTAAGTTGTTTACTGCTTCGGATTAGACAGCTCTTACCAAGCCAGTGCCATGTGGCTATGAGCCCCCTGTGTTAACACCTGCCACTTGGCTATATATATATATCACACCTCCTTCCTCTTTCGGTCTACCATCTTGCTGCTTAAAATCTTGCTTTTCATCTGTAAGTTCCCTTAATAAACTCTTGATGTCATTCTAAAGTTGCTAGCCTCTGTCTTTGGTCCCAATAAGAATGTAAATCTTTTGAAGAACCAGAAAACTCTGTTTGCAGACTAAAGCCCTTCAATTTTGGTAGTAGTAAACTTTCCAGGAAGGGAAGAGAAGGGAGGGATGAAGTCATTTATGATGTGAGGACCTCCTCTGTGGTGGGCGCTGTGCGAGGTACTCTGCATCTGGCCTCCAGTGTTCATGAAAACACTGTGATGTATGCACAGCATTGTTAACTCTGTTGTGTAGTTGAGAAAATAGAGGCAGGGGGAATTGGCGCTATTTACTCAGGGCTCTGTAGGTACCCCAGGTCCCCACAACCAGAGAAGAGGGGGCAGAGTAACAAGAAGGATAATCTTATTTCTGTTGAGGAAATGGATTAACTGCCAAATTTTAGGTTTTAAAAATTTATATTAGGTTAATTCGGCATTTTTTGTTTTTCTATGCAATTCTGAACATATATGGGCCTCATGGTAAACAAAAAACTACCTTACTTCTTATGTCTTCCAGTTAGGACCTCTTAGCTTATAAAAGTTTTCCTTATTGCAAATTCTCTATAAGATTAACTTCTAGTGTTAACCTTTAGTTATGTAAACCTGAAGAGAGAAAATAAAAATCAAAAACACCCCACCTGTTTTTGCTCGTGAATTAACTTCATGGAAGGTATAGTCATAGAACCTGTGAGTAGTATCATGGAGACCTATCTGAGTATAGTGTTTGAGGGAGACCACAGGTTCCTTAGGCACTGAGTGTAGGAAGACTGAGAGTGAGAATGCGGATGCTTGTGAGTAAGCCATTCTAGAAGAGCTCATGATTTCAGGCTGGACAAATTCTTAGAACCTGTAGACAGATTCTCTCAGAAATGTACATTCAGGATTATGCTTGGATGTTACTAACTTAATCTTCTGCCTTTGGAATTCTTTTAAAAGGAAAACATCCCAGGCAGATGTTTCTCAGAGGTGATAATGGGTTCCATCCACTTTCAGCCACTCTTCCTGCAATCTGAATTGTAATTTAACAGCAATCTCTGATATAAAACATATACCCAAAATAGGCAGCCTCCTCTAGATTTCAGAGGTGTCTGAAATTGAATAAAATGATGCCCGTAGAAGCAGTAAGGAAAGATAGATTTTCTGTGAAGACTTTTTTGCCCATTTGACAAATAAGAATGATGAAACTGACACTCTATCTTTTTCTCTTTGAAGCCTGAAAACTCAGAACTAAATTTGAGGGAGGCTCCTCAGCCATCACAATTCCGGCCTTAGAGTTGGTGTTCATCCCTGTTCCTTTTCTTCTCTTGCTTAGGCTTTCTAACATATCTTTTCCTTGGGCCTAATTAATTATTTTCTTACATTTGCTGGGCAGCTAGGTGGCCTATAACAGCAATTAAATATATAAATGAATAAATATAAAGATTGTACTAAAGCTAGACATAAAAATAAGTGTTCTGTATTAAATTTCATTGTTAGAAACAGTGCTGACTTGAGCAGAATGAGAGTTCCTTCTTCCCATGCTTTTGGTAGCTGTAAACTTTACATTTTTTCTCTTTCTTGTTGAGCCATCATGAACTTGTGACATCGTTTTCATGTTCCTATCTTGCAGAACCGTAGACAGAGTTAGAAATTTGTGGTCAGAGTTGCATTGGACATACAAATACCCCACGCATGAGGTGTTTTTATCTATTGCATACCCACTAGTTTTAAATCTACATTCCTACACCATTTGAAAGCATTCATCAAAGAATTAGTGATTCTTATCTGAAATAAACAACCTGTAAACATATAGTTAGAATAATTTTAGTGTCTTATTTTGGTTAAGAGTGGGCTTCTTGTGTTTTAAACTCAAGGTTGTGAATGGTTTTAATTAACTTGTTTATTTTCAGTAGAGATTTCAGGTTTACATTTGAGCTTAAAAACAACTTTTTTTTTTTTCCTCATTCCAGGTAAAGATAAACTCTGCATCTCCCTTCCCGAGCAAGGAGCTGGCTGAAACCACAAAAAATTTGCTGGATAGTCTCAGCACTCTGGCCCAAGAGGTAAGTTTTCTTTCCAGCCCCAGAAGCCAGACCATCCACTATCACTTTTTTCGACCCTGAGTTTGGCTAAAAAGAGTCCTTTTGATTTGAATAGTATATGAAATGTACAATCAAGTTTAGAAGCACCAGTGATCTTAAAAATGATCTTGTTTGATCTTACTTTAGAGATGAAGAACTCGAGGCTCATAGATGTCTCAGAGCTAATTAATTAGTGGCTAAAGGCTTGATTTCTAGTCTAGAACTTTCTTCTACTGTTACTCCTATGACTAGCTAATGACTCATTTGTAGAGAGGATAAACCTGCTCATCCCTATTTGCATTTGTCTCAGCAGCAACTTCTCCGAATTTCTTCAGTAGCAAGGGAAGAGAATCTTTTTGCCAAAACATTTGTTTGCTAACTAAAGGGAATAACATGGGTACCCCTAATTCAAATCTTTCTCTTGTAAACTTTTGGCCTCTGGGGTTCAACTTTGGAAATATAGTCTCCTGATGAACATTAAGTGGAGTTTGCCTTTCAGGTCCACGTTTTGACAAATGTATCAGAAGAACCTTTGTCAAAGGATCAGAGAGGGTCTGTAAAGTGCTTCCAGAAGCACTTAACCTTTCCTTTGCCCCCCAGCCAGTGTGTGCTTCACCTTTCTGACACCAAGCCTTGTTTCAAATTAGACTTGGAAAGGAGGAACTGTCTGGAGCCCAGTGTGTGAGGAGCTGAGCCAGGGGGCAGTGGTCAGAACAGTACAGACCTTAATGTATAGGACACTGGATAGGAATAATTTCTCTTGAAATTTTGTCAGGCTTGGTCCAGCCTTATTTTGAGCGGCTTCGCTCAGTCTTTGGTGTTGGTATCATTTTTCACAAATATCAACATTTACTTTGTTTTCTGGGGATAGAATTATTGCAAGTTCACTGTGGAAAATGCGGAATATTTGGGAAATACAGAAAACGCAGAGAAGAAACAGTTGACACTTTAGTGTATTATTTTCAATTTTCCGTTCTTTTTACTTTTCATTCTGCTCATGTGTGTCTGACTGAAGAGGTTTGGCTTTTGATCCCTTTCAGGAGGAGAAGTCCTTTTCCAGTTTGCCATTCGTTACTTCAGTTATAAATGCTAGTGACCTTTATGTAGGTGGAGAAGCTGAGACACCTGGGGTTCTTCCAGGAAGCAGAAAGAGAAACACAAACTGCCCTGCAAATCCATAGTCATTTCTCTAGGGTCCTGTTAGCTGACATTGACGTGCCCTGTACTAACTACTCTTGCAGATCCCTTCACAGCCTTAGAGTAAAAGCAGGGACTGTAACATGGGAGGCTGTCTCTAAACTCACGTTCTGGGTACAGCTGTTTCCTCTTAACGTCACTGGCCTGCGTTGTGTCTGGGGTAAAAAAATAATTGAAAGCATGTGATGTTCCCATTGCTGATGTGGCGGAAACTCTCCAACTGAGCAGTATACATTTTCGTTGGTGACTGCTTCCGTGTGTGCTGCTTGTTCCCAAGTCCAGGGCAAGCAGGGGCCACTCTCTCCTCTCAGTGGAGAAGAAGTCACTCTGAGCATAAGTTACTCATCGTCTAACTTGTTATTTCTCTGGGACAAACGGGACAAGATAAATAAGTGAATGCACTTGTTTTATCTGTTTAGTGTGTGGAAAGAAAGTTGGTTGTTTTGACAAAAGCACAATCCTTGTAGGAAAAGGGAGCTGACATTTTCTGAGGAGCTTCACCTGGTTCAAGCAGTTTCACCCAATTTCCTTGTATAATCCATGTGATTGGATTATATTGTACCCATTTTACATAAGACACTGAAGCTCAGACAGCTTGCCTACAGTCACGTAGGTAATTGGCAAAACTGGGATTTGAACCCAGAACTGTTGGACTCCAAAGCCCATGCTCTTGCTGCTATAGCCCACTTGTTGTCTGACGAAGTCTGATGGTGACTGGAATAGGATAGAAAGGAGATGTTTCAAAGAAAGAAGATATAGATTAATAGGACTTGGCCGTTATGTGGACCTAGGTGAGTCACCCTGACCTCGGCTTCATGTGTGGGACACAGGGAAGGTATGCCTGATGAGACTGGGGAGGCAGGACAGGGAGCAGCATCTGTTACTCACCCAGCACCTACCGGGTACCTGGCATTGCTTGATGCTGGGGACTCAGCAGTGGACACACTAACCTCCCTGTTCTCATGGGGCTTGTTTTGTGGGTGGGAGGCAGGTCAGGGTATAATGTGACAGCAAGGTTACGTGCAATGAAGAGAAATAAAGCAGGGTATGGGAGATAGTGATGGGAAGCCAGCTCGGGTTTGGAGCAGAGGGGCATATGACATGACCTAGAGTGTGAGACTGTTTACGTTGTGGCTGTTAAATCAGGAAGAGTTGCTGGTGAGGGAGCAAGGGCAGAAGGAGGTCATTGCAGTGGATTGAGAAAGCTGTTAAGTCAGCCAGCCATTCATTCACGCTACAGGTGATTATCCAGCACCACCTTTCGTGGGCTCAGGGACCAGTGGCCACCCTTCCCTGTGCGGAGGAGTGCTTCACCGAGGAAGTGTGGAACATGAGCTGAGGTGGAGAAGAATGAGTAGGCGTTTATCCCTGACCACAGGTGCTGAGAAGAGCCAACCATTTGAAACAACTGTCATTTATGGTGCCCCTGTCCAAACATAGGCAGGTTTAATGAGGGAAGAAATTCGTTCTATTGGTTGGATTATGGCAGGATGGTGGTGTTGAGGCAGCCTGTGGAAAGAGCAGTAAGTATGAGTGACTCTTGTTTAAAAATGTCCAGGGCTATTTCACCCACCAACAAAAGGAGGGGTGGTCTGACCATCTCTCCCCTCCCTGACTATGTACCTCATATAGGTTATGAAAAGGTAAAATAAGGAAAAGCCGGCCACATAATTGTTTTCTTGTGATGTATGTTCGATGCCCCCTCTCTAGGAGGGAAATGTTTGTGAACTCTGACCCACCCCTGGAGTTCCTGGTTCCCCTCTGGAGGCAGAAGGCCCAGTCAGGATCTGTAGCAGCCAGGACGATGTCAGTCATGGGAACCAGCAGGCTCTGAGAGACAGAAAGCTGGGCTCATGGAGTCTGATTCTAGGCCTTCTCCAGGTGCGTGCAGAGGCCCATAGCCTCTCCCCTCTACTTTCCACACCTTAGTCTTCCAGGTGATGAGAACATATACAGTGACTTTTCAAGGGATGTAGGGAATTGTTAATGATTTATTGTGAAATGCATGGAAATACAAAGTGCTCTATAAATATTTAATTATACGAGCAGTTGGGCCAAGAACTCCTGAAGGTGCTGGAGTAGATTTGTATGTGAGACAAAGTGCTTGTCAGAGTGTGAGTCACAGACTCAGCCTCTGGCTGAGTCATCGCTTGCAGACCCACCTCCCCCCCTCATGTATCATGTGGTTTATTCCTTACCACACTCCGTCATCATCTCGATGACAAGTTGGGCCTTAGAGAAGTGACTTTTCTAAGGCTGTAAGCTAATGAGAGACTTAGCTGGGATTCAGACTCAGATCTCCCACCTTACACTTTTTCCATTGCCCAACACTTGACTGAGACAAGGATGGGGGCTACACACACAGTACCTTTTCTCCCATAGGGCAGAGAGCTCCTCAGGTTCAACACCGAAGTTCGAGGTGTTTTAGAAATAAGTCAGTGATCGAGAGCATGAGCAGTTCCTGATGTATGTCTATGAACACATAGCTGTTCAGAGAAAACATTCTCTCCCATAAACCGGAAGATAATTGAATGAAATAAAGTCCATCACCAGGGGCTCCACTGACTTCTAAGCTGTGCTTCTCAATCTTTACCATGCATGGGAATCACCTGGCATCTTGCGAAAATGCAAATTTGAACTGTAGGTAGACAGATCAGAATCTGCGTTTCAAACAACCTTTTAGATTATGTTGACACTGCTGGTCCCCTGACCACAACTGTAGTAGCTTGGTTCTGGCAATCTCATGACAGGACTTTGAGGAAATGACATCAGACAAGTTATGTTCTGGGGTCTGGCTCTACAGAGGCCAAGAAAATAAGATGTTTCTTTCTCTTCTCTGTCTCCAACCCTTGCTCTACCCTTTTCTCCTCTTTCCTCCCCTTTTCCTCCCAATCCCTGACACCAGCTGTTCAGCATGAGGAGCTGGAGTGACATGCGGCAGGAGGTGATGTTTCTGGCCAACATGAACGGTTCCAGCTCCTCCACCCAGATATACCAGGCCGTGTCCCGCATTGTCTGTGGCCATCCCGAGGGTGGGGGCCTGAAGATCAAGTCCCTCAACTGGTATGAGGACAACAACTACAAAGCCCTCTTTGGAGGCAATGGCACTGAGGAGGATGCTGGAACCTTCTATGACAATTCTACAAGTGAGTGTCTCTGCAGACTAGAGCTCCAGCCCCAGCCCACCTTAGTCATGGATTCTCCTCTCATACTTGTCCTCATCCTTTGCAGCAGCATTAGGTGTCCACATGTCTGTTTGCCCACCAGAATGAGCACCTAGAGGGGAGAGTCTTCTCCTAATTAGCTCACCATGCCCACTTTTCTGAATGGGGTCTGGCAAGTCTCAGGTATACAGTGTGTTTATCAAATGAATGAATGATTGAAAGCCAAGTTTTCTGGGGGACGTAGGAGGGTGGTTCCCAGAGTAATTAATGATGTTATTCTTTTCTCCTCCTTTCTCCCCTTCGTCGCCCATGAAGTATGCTTTGTAATAAAAACTTAAAAATAACAGTAATAACAACAATAAAAGCCAACATTTAGGGAACATTTCCTATGCACTATGCATTCTATTTAAATTATCTCACTTAACCCTTACAATAACTCTGCAAAGAAGATTTTATAACCTCACATTTTATAGGCTCAGAGAGGTTAAGTGACTTGGTCAAAGCCACACAATAGCTAATCCGCAAGAGCCTGGATTAAGCCAGGATCCACCTAGCTCCATGCTCTTTTTTCCGGTAAACCACACGGCTTCTAAACTAGCTGTTAATGGTGGCATATGTCTCCCATCAGACACAGGCATTTGATCTGCTGTTTGTTTTTGGTTCTTAGCTGCAAAGCAGTGTTAAAGATCCTTGTAACTCCATATCTTCTCCCCGCACTTGGGCAGTTTTGTGGGGACATGTGTCCTGTGTCTGATGGCAGTGAGAAGCCAGTGTTACAGTTTTAGACAATGGCATCCTTTTCCTTGAAAACTTGATGCAAGTGAGCCTTTCTCTATTTCCAACCGCAGGTGTGTCTTTCAGACATTGAGTGAGGCAGCTTTTTGTCCATTACTGTAACAGAAGAACCTTTTATTTTTTCTCTGGAGTAAAGCACCACAGACATCGCAGGTTGCTTTGCAAGCCTGAAGAGGATGGCATTATAGGCAATTTTCTGAAATGCCATCTCCTCTGCTCTCCCTTGCTTTGCCAGTGAACCCAAGGGAACCTTCTTTTGCACAGCAGATACAACTGTGAGCAAATCCTCTTTAAAAAAAAATTATATTGTCTTTGCTGCATGGAGAGGCTACTTGGTATCTAAAAGAACCCAGGATGAAATTTAAAAAAAAATCAGGAATCCTTCTGGATAATCAAACCCTATTGTTTGTTATAACTTTGGATTTCTCAGTTTGGGATTTTTATTATATTTATTACATATAATGCTGAGACCTACTAAATAAAGGGATTTTTTTTTATTTTTGCTTGAAAACTGAAGTCTGAATTCGGCCTTCTTTTCAATGAAAACAAAGTGGTGAGGGCTGGCATACGAGTATGAATCTAGACTTGCACAGTCTGTGTATAGTAAAAACATTTTCTAGATTGTCTCAGTTTTGAGTTATCCATCATCAGTGATATAAGTTCTGATTATCAAGCATTGTTCTAAGGACTCTACAGATAACATCTCCCTACATCTCTGCCAAGTAAATGTTGTTAACTTTATTTTTACAGGAGAGCAAACTGAGGCTTAGGCAAGTGAAGTTATTTATTACATAGCGATTAAGTGGCAGAGCTGGGTTTGAACCCAGGACAGTCTGGCTGGCTCCAAAGCTCTTATTAGTTGCTATATGTTTGTGACCATGCATATGACTATTTGCCTTTCATCTTCTTCATAGCTCCTTATTGCAATGACTTGATGAAGAATTTGGAGTCCAGTCTTCTTTCCCGCATCATATGGAAAGCTCTCAAGCCTCTGCTGGTTGGGAAGATCCTGTATACACCTGACACTCCAGCCACAAGGCTGATTATGGCTGAGGTAAGCTAGCCAGGCCCAGGAGGTGCTCTCCAAAATCCTCCTCGAATTGCAGGCAAAAAAAGTAAAGGCAGCTTCAGATGGAGTATATATTAAGTATACTCCTGGCTCTTGTGGGATTTCCAAAGAGTAAGAACCTCGAGTCTGACCCTGGCCAGAGCTGACTGCTGAGGGCCAGCTCTCCAGCCATGGGTGTTTGAATCAAGCTGCAGGCAGGCACTTCTTGGTGCTTGGAAGGACTAGAAGAGGGCTGCTGTGATGGAGTGTCTTTTTACAGGGCAGCTACATTTCTCAAGTCTGTACCTCTTCTCCTCTTTTTTTGCTATCCCTGGCTCCCCGCCTGACTCCAGGTGAATAAGACTTTCCAGGAACTGGCTCTGTTTCATGATTTGGAAGGCATGTGGGAAGAGCTCAGCCCTAAGATCTGGACTTTCATGGAGAGCAGCGTAGAAATGGACCTTGTCCGGGTGAGTATCCCTCTGATCACTGAGTGCCTGCTTGATGCTAGAGAGAGGTGAGTTTCTGGTCACTTTCCCAGAAGAGGTCGAGATGAGAATTCTTTACGTTTAACCAGTGTAAGCAAATGTATTGAGTAGAGCACAAGCCACAGGGCTGTCACCTTTGTAGAGCTATAGGTGATGGTGCACTGATAACACTGTGTCATGCCTATCAGCGTCAATGTGTCTGGTAGTCAAAAATCAGTTTTCCAAGAAACCGAGGGCTGGTATTTGGAGCAAGAGTTTGGTGATTTCGGAACCCTGACCATTTTCATTTCTGGGTCTAGAGCTAACCGTAGCTGTTACCACATGGAAGGGAATTGCACTTAGTGCTTCAGAACCACTTCAAAGGGATTAGTGCTCTAAAGACAATTGAATTCAAAAGCGCAGGAGTCTGAATAAGAAAGAACAGAATGTCTTCTTTTCTTGAGCCTGAGTGCCATTTAATCACATCATCCCTGCCTTGGGATGAGTCAGAGAATCATTAGACTATTTCCTGTCTCCATGGTGAGGGAGGCCTCTTTTCTTTTGTTTCCGCTGCTATTAAGAAGCAGGAATTGATTTTGCCAGGTTTCTTGTCTTGACACCTCATTGATCAGAAGGGCAGCTGGGTTTTAAAGGCGGTACCTACCTGGAAGGTACTCTCTCAGGCTTAGGACTGTCCCCTGATGTCCTGGGAGGGGTGATACCAGGGGACCCTCAAATAACGGGAAAGTTAGAGTCATCTTTGTTGTACTAGTCCAAGCATTCTGTACAAACACAGAATTCTTAAATTAAGACCTTTAAAAACCAAAGGATTTTAGTGATAAAAACATGAACAATAATTTTTATGGATTTACTGAATAATTTCTAATAATAACAACTCATGCCCTTCAAGTACGGGTCTCTGTTGGGCTCCAGTGTCTCCTCTCTAAAAGGATTCATATGACCCAGCCATGTGACATAGACCTAGGTGTGATCTTGGGCCTCTTTTTTCTGGTCTTCCCTTTGGAATCCATACTTCTTGTTGGACTTCTTCTGGGTCTCAGAATGCTGAGGGGCCCCATTGAAGGGTTTCTATGAATTTTGATCAGTAGGCAGATAGATTCTTACCATACTCTTAAGTGGGGAGTTTGGCTTGGATGCTCCAGCTCAGGCTCCCAGTTCGTTGGGACAAGCCCTTGGAAACATGGCCATCGCATTCATTAGTTCTGCTGGGAGAACCCAGGATGTGCAATAAGAAGTGTAGGAGCTGTGGTTTGGAAGGCCTGTGTGTCAAGGACCTTTAGTTTAAGTTCTGGGGGAAGGTTTTAAGCAAGGGGAGATATAAACATATTTGATAATGACAGGTGGATTGAAGGAAGGGGAAGATAGAAGGCAGAGACCAGGGTGGAGATTATCCAAGTGGGTGATCAAGGCACTGGCAGGAAGTGAAGCCTGATGACTGCTTGATTGTGGAGGGGTGAAAGAGAGGGAGGCATTGGGATGATTCTTGATTTCTGGATGGTGGATAATGGGGATGTCTAATAGGCTGATGGACACTGGGGCCTGGGGGAAGCGGGGCTGTTTAGGCTAGAGACACTGACTAGGGACTCATCGGCCTGTGGGTGTAACTTGAAGAAGCCTCCTCTAACTTTCCTTTCTCTCTTAAGGAGTATTTATTTAATGCCACAAACTTGGGCTTCTCAGTCCTGGTCACCCTCTGCATTTTCACATCTGGTACATGAGGTGATGCCTGAGGCTTCTGCTTCTGCTGGAGTAATTTCATTTTTTTCTTTTCTTTTTCTTTTCTTCTCTTTTCTTTACTCCCCTCCCCTTCTTTCCCCTCTCCTCTCCCTCTTTCAGTTTTATTGGGGTATAATTGAAAAATAAAGATTGTATATATTTAAAGTGTACAATTTGATGTTTCAATATACATATACATTGTAAAATAATCACCATAATCAAGCTAGTTAACATACACATTATCTCACATAGTTACCTCTTAGCAAATTTCAGGTATACAGTATTGTTAGCTATAGTCACCATGCTATACTTTTGAACTTATTTAGAACTTATTTAGATTGCATACTTGAAACTTTGTACGCTTTGAGCTCCCCATTTCCCCCACCCCCAGCTTCTGGCAACCACCATTCTACTTGTCATAACTCTTACCTTTCTGCTGCCTGTGGCTCTGTCTACTACAGCTGTTGCATCACCCCACAGATATGGAGTCACTTCTCCGTTGCATCGTGGAACCCATTGATACTAAACTGTTCTGTTTTCCAGCTGCCCTTTGCCTCCTTCATTTCAAGGCCTGGCTTTTTTTTCTGGCTAGCACTCCTAAGGGTGATCTTAGGTCTCCTGGTCCCCTCAAGTACCCTAGAATGGCCATGTGATCAGGCCTTCACCGGACACATCTCTCTTGTCTTGCTTCCTTGGCCATATTGCTCTGAAGCCACACCAGACAGAGCAGGTGTCACCCTAAATGCCACGTGTGTTTACTCATCTCTTCTTTGTTCAGTTCAAGTCTGCAAATAAAGTCATTTGAGAATTGCTAACCCAAACCCCTGTGAACTTTGGTAAAGGTACAATTTTGTAACTATTTGTGTTAACAAAAGTACATATCTTACTGATAACAGTATAAATTGTTTTTCGCTATTGGAAAGCAATTTGGGATGAAAATTGCAAGATCCATAAAAAATGTGCTATCCTATGTGTCTCCATTCCACACACCCTCAGGGGTGTATCCTACAGAAATAATTTTAAAGAAAGAAGCCTCTGAATGAGAGAAAATGTTATTGCTATCATAATTGTTATTGCGAGAAATTAGAAATAGGATAAATGCTTAGCAGTATGAGAATAATTAATGAAATTATAGTATATCTATTCTATAAAATCATTATGCTTCCATTAAAATAATAAATATGAAGCCACCTGGAGGAAAAAGCTTATAATGTTAGTGGAAATAAGACTGATTTAAAAAGTAGCAGTATTTGGCTCCTTAGAGTCTCCATTTCAGTAGAGCCAGAGTTTCATCTTCCCTCTCAAAGCTGTGACAGGATTTGTAGCTCCTTCTGTTCCATGAGCTGGGTTTGAAGCTGACCCCTGTTTTTGGCAGCACATCTGTGCAGGCCTCGGCCCCAGCCCTCTGGACCCATTGGTTGAGCACCAGACTGGGGTGTCCTTCTCTTCCATACTGATTTACATGGAGGAACCAACCAGCTGGAGAACAAGAAATGGAGACAGGCCTCTTTTACATCATGACCCATGTGTCCTACAATGGGGAAAGGTCATATTTTACTTGGTTTAATAGCAGCATTATTAACGAAACAGCAAAAGTGGGTTTGTCTTCATTCAGTCTAGACCCAGGGTCTTTATGAGGAGTCATCAGCCTGGTTCTCAAAAAAGGAAGGCAGTACAATGCAATGGGATGGGGCAGTAGAATCAGAGAGCCCATGTTTCATTTTCTGGCTTTGCTGTTTACTAGCCATGTGAACTTATGGTAGGGACTTGACCTCTCTGATGGTCAGTTTTCCTATCTGTAAAATGGGAACTCTTAAAAATATCTTCCTCATGGAGTTGCATGAGATAAAGCATAGAAATAAATCAGTATAGTAATTGTACAGAGTAAGCACAATCACTGTTGTTACTGTAGTTAATACTGTTGAGCTATCCTGTTTGGTACAGTGAAAAACTTAGACTCTGGATTCAGACTGGTTTGACTTTGAGCCTCAGCTCCAAGCACATGAGCATTGTGATTCAGCCTTGGTTAAAATCGTATTCTTTTATTTTTCAGCCCCAATATTCTCATCTGGTAAATGGGGACACTGTTATTTACCTCAATAGCTTTCTATGAGGATGAAAAACAAAAGAGACAATATATGTGAAGGATTTTGTAAATCATTTGTTCTTGTCAAGACTTAGGTGGTATTTACTATGTATGCTTTCTCTTTGTCATGGCAGACACTCTTGAACAGCAGAGGCAATGATCACTTTTGGGAACAGCAATTGTCTGGCTTAGATTGGACAGCCAAAGATATCATGGCATTTCTGGCCAAGCATCCAGAGGATGTCCAGTCAGCTAATGGCTCTGTGTATACCTGGAGAGAGGCTTTCAATGAGAGCAACCGGGCAGTCCAGACCATAGCTCGCTTCATGGAGGTGAGGATCTATTCTATGGCTCATTTGGAAAAGGCTATGGCTTTTCTTCTGAGATGATGCAATAAGTAAGTCACATTGGAGGAATGTTTAGAAATAATGTCCAGTTTTATTTATAGGAGTATTCCTGAAACCTAACACAGGGCTTGATGTGCAAAAGGCACTCAATAAACGATAGTTCAATGAGTAAATAAACAAACCTAACTCTGGCTTTATTCTGTCAGACTCAAGGGTGTTTCTATCCCTTGTCTTCTAGATTTTTCAGTGTTTTGATATCCTCATACCTAATTGCAACAAAGCAGTCCCTTAAAGGCATTATTTATGAAATTTATTTAAAATCTAATAGGACAAATTACATTTAAAAATTTATTCTTAAAAATTATGTCACTTAACAGGGACAAATAAAAGACTTTTTTTTTTCAGGGGTGGGGATCTGTTTATTTATTTACTTAGTTGTAAATGACTCAAAATTGCTGAGAAAAAGGAGGGGTATGATCATTGTTCCAACCTCTTTCTCACCACAGAAATCAATGTAAGTAACTTATCTTTAAATTTCAGTTTAAAAAAAATATCCATTTTTGGTTGAATATTGGAAAACGACTTTAGAGAAGACTTACAGAGTGAGGATAAAAAAGCCACACAGTACTTCCCTCTTCGGGTAGGGTCTGTCTTGGTTGTACTGCTTGTTTTTCTGGCCACCAGAGTTCTCATGACAGCTATTCTTCCTTCAGTGTGTCAACCTGAACAAGCTGGAACCAATAGCAACAGAAGTTAGGCTTATCAACAAATCCATGGAGCTGCTGGATGAGAGGAAGTTCTGGGCTGGTATCGTGTTCACCGGAATTACTCCCGGCAGTGTCGAACTGCCCCATCATGTCAAGTACAAGATCCGAATGGACATTGACAATGTGGAGAGGACAAATAAGATCAAGGATGGGTAAGCTGAATTCCATCATGCCAAGCAGCCTTGGGGAACCAAGAGCAGCTAAGATGACTAGAGGTACTTAATTTTATGGGATAATTTGGTAGAAACTCAAATAGATGGCATGATTTCGGTGAAATATCACTATCTTTTAGCATTGCAACTCAAGAGAATTAATCCCAAGGAATTAATCAACAGAAAAGAAAGAAAAAGAAAAAAGACTTTAGGTTCCCTGTGCTGGCATTTTTACAAAAAGGAGCTATCAATATAAAAGGGAGTGGTTGGTAAGTTTTGGTATGTCTACTTGATGTAGTGTTAGGTATCCAATGGAGGGGAAAAAACAAACTAATAAGTGATGTGCTCATTCCGATTATATCTATTAAAAAATATGTGCACAGGTAGGATGCAAAAGTAAAAACAGTGACTCTGTAATGGTGATGGGATTGAGGGTGATTGGATTTTTTTACTGTTTGGTTCTAAAGACTATCTGGTTACCTGTGGTTTGGTTTTAGGTACTGGGACCCTGGTCCTCGGGCTGACCCCTTTGAGGACATGCGATATGTCTGGGGGGGCTTCGCCTACTTGCAGGATTTGGTGGAGCAGGCAATCATCAGGGTGCTGACGGGCTCCGAGAAGAAAACTGGTGTCTATGTGCAACAGATGCCCTACCCCTGCTATGTTGATGACATGTAAGTTACCAGTGAGCCACCATCTTTATTTAACCAGTTAACACTGTCCCCAAGTGGAGCATAGACACATGCACACAATGCATGTGCACACACACCAAGAGAGGAGACAGAATGCTTTGATTTCAATTTTTTTTACATGCATGTTGATTCTAGTTAAAATTAGTTTTGAAATTCTGTGAAGATTTCAGGAATTAAGATGCCAGATGTAAGTAGTTGACAGTCTGAGCCACATCAGAGACACACACGTGCACACGTTGGCAGTCCTCCTTCCTTTCTCACCCATGGTTACCAGAACTTTTATTTTCTACGCTCTACCCTTTTGGTTAAAATTTGCTCAATGTGCAAATTTAAAATATGTCATGACAAACACATGCCAGCATACACACATTCCCCAAACACAGAAGCGGCGTTCTAGACCTATGAAAGCTGACTTCATGTAAATTTGTCTACTTCCTCTCTATAAGTGGAAACCACAATTTGAAACAATCCAAATAAAACAATCCAAATGGGAGGGTGACTCTCCTCCCATCTGCTCTCTGCTTTGCTTGGAAAAGTCTATTTCCTTGTGTGGCTCAGCTCTAGCTTTTTGATGTCACCTAGAATTGTCACCTTTTTATGTTAGACTTTTAAGATAATCTTTTAGAGTTTAGTTACTATGCTACTAAGTTCTCAATGTGAGAGCTCTGCCTTTGGAACTAATGATTTCTTGTAAGAGAATGAGCAGAGGTATAGTTATTGCTGGCATCTGAAATATGTAATGTTTCTTCCAAATTCTGGAAATTCTCTTATTCTCTGTTGGTGGTGGTGGTGGTGGCGGTGGTGGGGTGTGTGTGTGTGTGTGTGTGTGTGTGGACATCAGAGTGCAGACGGAGCAGGGTGACTCTCCTCCCATTTGCTCTCTGCTTTGCTTGGAAAAGTCTATTTCCTTGTGTGGCTCAGCTCTAGCTTTTTGATGTCACCTAGAATTATCACCTTCAGAAAGATTAGCCAGAGTTTTCTAAAGCAAGACTTTTCCAAAGACCCCCCATAAGCCAAGATTTTCTCTAGAAAGGATGTCTTAAGATGAGGACATGATGAGAGTTCAAAGCATTAAGAGTCTTTACCTGTTGTCACATAGTAGAAAATACCTAAGTGTTAAAACTGGACCTTGAACCTTGAGTTTCAGGGTCCAGATTCTGTGTCCTTTTTACTTCACTGCATTTCCTGTTCTACTTTGGAATCTGAAATATTACTGACGAGAGCTGCTTGATGTGTATTTCTGCACTATCTGTCATAGCGGTTATACAAGTCAATAGTGAGTTGAGATGACCTTGGAGATTTTGAATTTTCATGGTTTTTCATGATTTTTCTGTTTTGGTACTTTAAAGTCACCCACATTTAGCTTAATGACATCCACAGTTACCTAGTTACTAAAGCGGGTCCCCAAAGAAGTTTATTTTGGCAATACTCTGTTAGTCTAATTTTTATTACTACATTGCACTACTCACGAAGCAGTTGAAAAGAGAACCGGTACGTTTCAGAGTCCAGAGGGCTTGCCCATCTCTTGCACATGGGCCCAGAGGTGTTGGCCCAGGCATCTGCCTCACACTGGTCTTTAATTGTCTCTCTTCCCTTCCCTGGGGCCTCCAGCTTCCTGAGAGTGATGAGCCGGTCCATGCCCCTCTTCATGACTCTGGCCTGGATTTACTCTGTGGCTGTGATCATCAAGGGCATCGTGTATGAGAAGGAGGCCCGGCTGAAGGAGACCATGCGCATCATGGGCCTGGACAATAGCATCCTCTGGTTCAGCTGGTTCATCAGTAGCCTCATCCCTCTGCTCGTGAGCGCCGGCTTGCTGGTGGTCATCCTGAAAGTAAGACTGCCTCCCCGGCCTCTCCCTGCTGGGAACTCCTGAGCAGACCGACAAGGGCAGTTTGAGGAGAAAAGCAAAGATTCTTTTGGAGGGAGTGGGTCTTACGGGTCATCTCTTACAATGCTCTCATTTTAGAGTTGGAGAGAGTGAGGCCCAGAGAGGGACAGTGACTTCCCCAAGGTTAGCCTAGCTAGTTAGCAGCTAAACAGGACTAAGACCTAGGGCTCCCACTCCCCAGGTAAGCACACTTAACTGTGCCAGTCTGTCTCCTTGGCTGAGGTCCATGGGGACATCTAAGAGCTATTCATTGCCTTACATATACTGGGTGGTAATTCTTGTAGAATACCTAGAAATTAAAGAGTATATATTGTTGCAGGTTAGGTTCTCTGGAAGCAGAAGCTGCAACAGAGTTTGACATCTAGTATTTATTAGGGATCACCATCTGTGGAAGGAATGGGGAGGATGCAGGATTGACCAGAAGGAGGAGATGAACTGCAGTGTAGGACCAACCCCGTGGGCACTCTGCATCATATATAGCTTGTTGAAATTGTCCCTCATTGAGCTGAAATGTCCAGCCTGTTAGGTTCCCCCAAGGCCTCCCTCTCTGACATCCATGCCGCAGGCCCACCAGTCAGTCACCGAAAGTGTATGTCCCCCAGGGCCAGGTAGCTATCAGTAGCAGTGATTAACCCAGAGGAGTTGATACCTGTAGGCTGTCTGCTGACAGCTGAACAACAGGTTCCCCCAGAAGGGGACTGGACAGTGTGGTTCTGTGTCAACCACATACATTAATAAGTTGACATGCCAATTTTATTTCTCCATTGTCATTTCATCTAACAATGCATCATACAAAAATTTTTTAAAGAAGGGGGAATGCAATGGGATAGGAACCAACATTTAATTCTAGTTACTGTTTATTACAAATAAGTGCTTATTGATTATCAAGCACTGTTTAAAGCACATCATACACACTGTCTTATTGTATCCGTACTAAATAACCCATTTAATGTAGAAGGAAATGAGCCCAAGTAAGGTTAAAGACTTCGCTGAGGTCATCTGGCAGTTTGGCAGAGTAGTTCTTGCTAAACTCATACCCCATTCACACTCTGATATCTAACTTCAGGGACTCAGCTCTGTGGTGGTATGGGGTGTCTTGTGGCAGCTGTGTGACAGCTGCTCTGGGACAACTACATACTGGCAGGTCCTGCTCCAATATACCCAGCTACTAGAGATAAAAGTCCACAAGAGTTTATATATTTGTGGGAATGCAGATTCCACAGATTATTGAGGGGGTATTAAGATTGCCTGGCCATTTTCCTTGGCTTTTGGAGGGAGAAGTCATGTGGGTTGTGTCTCTCAACTCCTTCTTGGTGCCGAGAGTCATAGTCCTTACAAAAGGAGAAACCAGGTAATATTATTTCTAGGAGGAACAAAGAACAGAATTGTCTGTTGTGAGGAACCTCAATGAATATCAGCCCTGGTCTCTGTTCTCTTCCTGACTCTACCACTGTTGTGCTGTATGGTCTTGGGCTAGTCATTTCCCTTCCTCTAGGCTTCAGAGAAATGAACATCACTGTTCTATATTATCTCTGAGACGAATAAGAACAAGCCCTGGCTGCTTCCCCTATATCCTGCAAGGATGTACTTGCTTGTCGAAGCAGCACGTTTATTGGCTCTCTTCTTTCCCAGTTAGGAAACCTGCTGCCCTACAGTGACCCCAGCGTGGTGTTTGTCTTTCTGTCTGTGTTTGCCGTGGTGACCATCCTGCAGTGCTTCCTGATCAGCACGCTCTTCTCCAGAGCCAACCTGGCAGCAGCCTGCGGGGGCATCATCTACTTCACGCTGTACCTGCCCTACGTCCTATGTGTGGCGTGGCAAGACTACATGGGCTTCACACTCAAGATCTTCGCAGTGAGTAACTCTGTCCTTCCGCAGGAGCTGCCGTCACAGCCACCCCTGGTGTCTCACCTCCTTATTGCAGTCCAAGCTGAGAACAGGAGTTGAGTCTCTTTGCAGTGGGATTTGAACCTCAGTTCTAGATTCTGAGCTTCTTGAGAGCAGGGGTTGTGTCTTATTAAATTGTTTATCTTTAGTCGTCTCAGTGAATCATGGCTGAATGGAATCAAATGGAATTTTTTATGGTACAGCCAGACTGTACCATAAACCCAGGTGGGAGTATATGACATTGAGGAATACCTTTAGACAGGAGATGCCAACTCCACCTCCATGGACCATCATCTTAAGCTCACCATAAAGTCGCAGCCACAGTTAGAACTGAAAGCTCTTAAGGTCAGAGATGGCTCCTTCTTGACCTTTGTCTTCCTTGTGTCCAGTTTGGACTTTCACTTGAGTAATACTTTCTGAACTGTAAAAGACCGAGGAGCAGATCGATGCCCCATCTCCCCACAGATCCCCGACTTCGGCACTTCCTTTCCTTGTACGTAGGAGGAGGGGTCCTTATATAAAAGCGAGTTGCCAGCTGTCTCTTGGGTCACTTATAAGGAAAGAGTCACTCTCAGGGTACTCCAGGTGCCTTAGTCTGGACACCCTAGACATCAGCAGCCCAGACAGCTCTGACACAAGCCATCACCAGCTGAGCAGGTGGCTTGAGGGGACCTTGATGAATGTATAAGTGTGTATGTAGGGCACAGGATTCTTGAGCCCTTGGGGTATCTTTGGAAGCATAAAATTCTAAAAATTTTACACTGCATCATACATACATACATATCTGAAATGTGTGTGCATAATGAGTAGTTATAAATAGAATCATTTTATATGCTACCAAGGAGCCCACTCCCCACAGGGAGTCTCTAGGTGACTTTTTCCATGTCTTGTAATTGATCCATTTTGAAAATTCAAATTTCTCCAGGTGAAATTTACATTAGAAGTGTTAGAAAAATGAGAGAGACAAGGAGATGGATAAGTGACTTTTGCCTTTTTCTCTCAGAGCCTGCTGTCTCCTGTGGCTTTTGGGTTTGGCTGTGAGTACTTTGCCCTGTTTGAGGAGCAGGGCATTGGGGTGCAGTGGGACAACCTCTTTAAGAGCCCTGTAGAGGAAGATGGCTTCAACCTGACCACCTCGGTCTCCATGATGCTCTTTGACACCTTCCTCTATGGTGTGATGACGTGGTACATCGAGGCCGTTTTCCCAGGTACACTGAGCTTCCCTATTGCTTTAGCCAGCTGCTAGGGAAATGTGATTTTTAGCTGCAGAGCTTTTCTCTCTTTTTTTGCTGGAATTTCTGCAGGGCCCGGGGCCCCTTAGAACGTGGCTAGGGCTTTGGATCTTGGCAAACACATAAACCAAGGAGAAACAGACGATGCTAAAAGTATAACTTTTACCACTGATACAGCTCTTATTTCTTGAGCACTGTGTGCCAGATGCTGTGCAAATATACTTTGGTTTCATATACTTTGGTTCATTTAATCTTTATAAGTCGACTCTTAAGGAGTTACTGTTATAACCAGTTTTTGCAAATGAGAGAACTATATAGCTCAAAGAAGTTAAGCAGTTTGCCTGTGGCCACCCAGCTGGTAAGTGCTGGTGCTTAGAGTGGACTGTGTTGGGTTATACTGGGTCAGCTGTCACAGGAGATTCTGCCCTGTGCTGACCCAGTTCCTAATTCTGTATCCTCAGAATTACCACTGGTGGATGTTCTGTTTCCTGAGTACGGTTTGCGAATAATAAGTATATTGGCCATAAGCCCTTGCTTGTGATTTGATCAAATTAGTTTTCATAAAAATTCATTTGATACTTCCCTTAATAAATCACCTGACCAAGACCTGCCTTGGATACATTTTCATGTAAGATCAAACTCTGAGCCAGGTTTAACTCTTTCTGGTTCACCTTCTAATTTTCTTCTAAGGGGGTATGCGTACATGAAATGTTTATTTCCCCTACTTGAACTTCCTGCATTGAATATGCAATTTTGTATCATATAGATCTGGATTCACATTCTGAGTCCTCCACTTACTGGTTGAGTGATAGACTACTTATCCCTCAGTTTCTTAATCTCTAAGATGGAGATGATACCTGCTTCATAGAGTAGGGAGGATTCAGAGAGGTGCAGAACTTCTGTCATATGTAGTAGGTCTCAGTGAATGTTAGCTTTCTCCTACCTCACTCCTACCCCAGTCTGTCCCATCTTCAGAAGCTGTGTCAAAGAGAGAGTGGGTCTGGCTAGGATACCTCGAGGATGCTAGGATGTGGCCGAGCTTGACCCACACCTGTGCTTTGCTTTCAGGCCACTATGGAATTCCCAGGCCCTGGTATTTCCCTTGCACCAAGTCCTACTGGCTAGGGGAGGAAAGTGATGAGAAGAGCCATCCTGGTTCCAGCCAGAAGGGAGTATCAGAAAGTAAGTACCGCTGCCCCCACCGACTGCGGGGGCCAGGGTCTAAAACCACTCCAGGGATGGAGAAATCACATGCAGTTTCCCTTTCCATATTCTCCCATGCTGACATCATGATGTCCAGGGCTATTGACTCATTAGGGCGTCACCATCTGAGTCCCTGAAGGATGTTTGGTTTTCTTGGCTTCTTAGAAAGTGACTCCAGATCTTTATATTTTCACTACCAGCTCCGTCCCCCTACTTTTCATGCTCTTCTAATAGCTAGGGGGAAGAGATAAAGAAAACTGTGATTGTCGAACCATAACCTTTCTGCCTGCGCTGTCATGGTGATGTATGAACTGGTGTAGGCTGACACCAAGTGGCTGCCACAGAGCTCGACTTGTGCTTCTCAGTGTTCTTACCCTTCATTATCCAGAGCCCTAATCCTCTCCGGCTCCTGACTGGCAGGTAGAGAGGCCTACAGTTCAGCAAAGGTGCTGCCTTCTGGGTTCTTTGCTCAGGTTCTTGGAGGGATATTCTCTCTTTGTGTTCAGCATGGCTTTCTAAGTGGTTAATAAGTCTGTCTTCTGATCTCTTCTGTGCCCTTTCCCGAGTCACCAGTGGTAAAGCGTGACGTCCCTTAGTATGGTACACTAGGCTTCTTACACGCAGTGCTTGCCTGCCTGCCATTCCAGCTGCTTCTCCTGCTCTTCCGCTCTTCTTGCCCAGTCTTTTCTCTCCCAGCTTCTGTCTCAGTCACCTAGAGCTG